TCCTCGCTGCTTCGGTGACACGAAGACGGGTTCTCGTAACTCAGGTGCACCAATACTAAGAGTACGAAACAGCGCAACCTGTTATCTGCGACCTGCGGCTCGACCGCTGGACTTGCGGTTCATGGCAAGCGCGGAGGGGTCCGTCGTCACTTGTTGCCACCCCTCCAGGAAAAACAGAGCAAGTGACCACTCAGCCTTTCTTGAACGAGACGTCCGGGCGTTCAGACGTGTGCAGAGAGCGAGTCGACATTTTGTCGAGAGAGAGTGCTAGCGAGAATACAATTATTCAGGAGTGATCTGTAAAGCGGCATCAGTTGAACATTATTTATTTGATAGTTTATTGAATTGAGTGACTTAGAAAGTGTTAGGACGAGGGAGAGTAACAGCCGCGAGAGCGAGGGACGCGAATTATCACGAGGCGTCGATAGAACTGAGTACTTAACAACACAAGCCAAAAGTGTTGAATAGACGCCGAAATATGCCGTTCCCATTACGCGTAAGACTGTGTATCACGCGTCTGCGTGCTACGAGTCAAAACTCGCAAAGAGAGAAGACTGGACGGGAATTATGGTGTTGGAGAGAAGAAAGAAGAGTGCACGTGGATTCCGTGGGCAGCAGCATGAAGACAGGAGTTTTCGAGCGACATCGCGTACGTCTCGTCGGCAGAGGAGCGTCCGGAATTAGAAGCAAGGTCAGGCACACGACGAAGGAGAACCGAGGTACACAATTTGTAACGGGAGTCTAGGGCAGGCGGAGCTACGAGCACGTTAGCGCATCGGAAGAAAGACTGAATTTTAACAAAATTTACATAATAAAGTAGATTTCGTTGCGGTCCATGTATTCGAGAGAAAAGGGAACCTTGTAAACAGTGTAATACATTTAATATATGTTTAATACTCCAAGGAAAGTCACATGTGTAATAGAAATACTTGTGTAATGGAATAAGCGGTTGTGTTAATTTTGTTGCGAGCATTTTTTGAGCTAAGGAAATTTAGTAGAAATTAGATATAATTTTATTTTATGGTGTGGTAATTGAACAAAGTATATTAATATCATTTATTTAACTGTGCTGGCCAACAAATGTGTACGGGTATTTCTAGAGGGCAATCTATTATGAAGAATTAACCATTTAAAATATTAAAGAGATTTTTATAATTGTGTCAATGTGTTGCAAATGGTAATTTAATTTCTTGTGAGATATTTGAAAGTGTTATTTGTCATTTGGTTTTTGTTTTGTATTTGCCCAGTAATTGCTGTATTGGTTGTATTCTTGAAAAAATATACGCACTGATTAACCTATTTCTGTGTCTTGGGAAAACCTTTCTCATATCCTAAATACCCAGCCCCTGAGATCATCAACAAACATTGATATCAATAAAACCGTTTATAAAGTAGGTTTTGGGTTTCCAAAGCCCCCAAAAATTTCCCCATTATTCGGCCTTTTCTCATATTAGGCTTTAGAAAATAAGAAATGCATATTATTTAAGTTATTTTAATTAACAGACGTTTGGATGAGTTTGTGCTCAGGTTCCTGGCCAAAAGTTTATGATCAATAAACAGAAATTATTTGATTCCACAATGTACGAAATTAGCCAAAATATGGCAATATTTACATTAAATCCATAGAAAACGAAGGGCTGAAACGAAAGACGAGCGACAGGAAACAAAAGACGAACGTCGCGAAACGAAAAACAAAAAACGAGAAACGGAAAGACTAAAACGAAAAACTAAAAAAGAAAAAACGAAAGACGGTGGTCGGTCGCTTGTCGTCTGTCGTCCGTCGTCTGTCGGTCATGTGTCGTCTGTCGGTCATGTGTCGACTGTCGGTCGATGGTCGTCTGCCGTTCGTCGGTCGTCGGTCGTCGGTCGTCGGTCGTCTGTCGTCTGTCGTCTGTCGTCTGTCGTCTGTCGTCTGTCGTCGGGCGTCGGGCGTCGGGCGTCGGGCGTCGGGCGTCGGGCGTCGGGCGTCGGGCGTCGGACTTCGGTCGTCGGTAGACGGTAGTCGGTCGTCGGTCACGAAGACGAATGACGAAGTGGTATAACGAAGACGTAGACGAATTACTAAGATGAGAAGGAAGACGAAACACGAATACCAAGAAGACGAATGACGAGGATGAAGACGAATGACGAAGACAAATGACGAAGACAAATGTCGAAGACGATTGGCGGAGACGAGTGACGAAGACGAATGATGTTGACCAATGACGAATACGAATGACGAAGATGAGAAGGAAGACGAATGACGAAGACGAATGACGCAGACAAATAACGAAGACAAATGACGAAGACGAATGACGAAGACGAATGACGAAGACGAATGACGAAGACGAATGACGAAAACGAATGACGAAGACTAATGACGAAGACAAAAGACGAGGGCAAATGACGAAGAATAAAGAAGTTCGTTCAATGTCGAAGACGAATCGCAAAGACGATTGACGATGACAAATGACGAAAGCTAATGACGAAGACGAATGCCGGGGAATAATGACGAAGACGAATGACGAAGACGAATGACGAAGACGAATGACGAAGACGAATGACGAAGACGAATGACGAAGACGAAAGACGAAGACGAATGACGAAGATGAATGACGAGGACGAATGAAGAAGACGAATGACGAAGACGAATGACGAAGACGAATAACGAAGACGAATGACGAAGATAAAAGAAGTTCGCTCAATGTCAAAGACGAATGACGTAGACGAGGTCGAAGACGAAGACAAATGAAGAAGACGAATGACGAAGACGAATGACGTAAGGAATGACGAAGACGAATGACGAAGGCGAATGACGAAGTTGAAAGACGTTGACCAATGTCGAAGACGAATGACGAAGACCAATGACGAAGACCAATGACGAAGACCAATGACGAAGATCAATGACGAAGACGAATGACGAAGACGAATGACGAAGACGAATGACGAAGACGAAGACGAATGACGAAGACGAATGACGAAGACG